CATCTGCTGTATTTACATGCCAGCATCCAGTTTTTCCAGCACCATTTTTTGAAGATTCTCTCTTTTTCATTTGTGTAGTTTTAGCTTCTTTTTCAAAGATCAGGTGTTCAAAGGTGTGTGGGTTGATATCAGAGTCTTTTATTCTATTCCTTTGGTCTACTTTTCTGTTTTATATGTTTTCAGGACTATAGCTCTATAATAGAGATTGAAGTCATGGATGTTGATGCCTCCTGTAGTTCCTTTATCGTACAGGATTGTTTTGACTATCCTGCATATTTTGTTTTTCTATATAAAGTTGAGGATTGTCCTTTTGAGGTCTGTGAAAAATTGTGTTGCTATTTTGATAGGGATTACATTGAATCTATAGATTGCTTTTGGTAAGATTGTCATTTTTACTATGTTGATCCTACTTATCCAAGAGCATAGGAGATATTTCTATTTTCTGGTATCTTCTTTAATTTCTTATTTTAAAGACTCCAAGTTCTTTTTATACAGGCCTTTCACCTGTATTTTTAGAGTTACCCCAATATATTTTTATGTTGTTTGTGGCTATTGTAAAGGGTGATGTTTCTCTGATTTCCTTCATATCCCTTTTATTGTCTGTATACAGTAGGGCTACTGAATTTTTTTAGTAATTTTGTATCCTGCCAATTTGCTGAAGATGCTTATCAGCTGTAGGAATTACCTGGTAGAATGCTTTGTGTTGCTCATGTAGACTATCATATCATCTGCAAATAGTGAAAGTTTGACTTCCTCTCTAATTTTTATCCCTTTCATCTCCTTTTGTTGTCTTATTGTGATAGCAAGAACTTCGAGTACAATATTGAAGAGAGATGGAGACACTAGACTATTAATTTACTTGTTTTTCTTTGGATTATGAGTTGATATAAAGTACAGACTTATTCTGTACTTATTATTTTCTTATCTTTAATCTTTGGGGTGTATTTTTGTGGCAAGAATCCTAAAGAGTTCTAGGATGTATTTAATTATGTTCACTCACCATCTTTATTTCCATAATTGCATATTTCACCTGTAAAATAATGAAGCTAATTGAAGTAACAATATAGTTCAACTAAGCAAAAAACGTGTATAGTTCCTCTAAATTACTCCAATAAGACTAACATCTATTCCATATAGGGAAAAAATTTAAAAAATCAAGCACATAAAACCCCAATATTTGTCCTGAAGCTACCTCCAACATTTTTTACTTAATTAAAGATAATGCTATAAGTAATGTTAAAATTATTTTATTGGTATATAATAATTATACATTGATAAACTAGAACATTTTGAAATTTGTATGATGCAGTTTCATATTTGGCATATCCAGCATTACAAATATTTATCATTTCCTTTGAGATAATGAAAATTCTTTTGAATAGCTTAATATATACAAAATTTTGTGAATTATAGCCATACTACTCTTGTACAGAACATTGCAAATTATTTCTCCTATCTTACCCAATGTTTTTCTTCCCAGTTACCAAGTTTTCTTTATTCTACCTCTCCTCTATAGAACACTAAATACAAATGAGTATGTTTTGTTTGCCTCCTTTATGTTATTGCTTTAATTAGCTCCATTTCATCCATGTAACATTTGTGTCTTGGGAAATGAAGACATTAGAAATAATAATGAAATGTGCTCTATTGTTATTAATATTTTATACATATTAGTATTATTCCTGATTGCATGTCTGTGTACCACCCATGTGCCTGGTACTTGGAGAAGGCAGAAGAGGGTCCTTTATTTCCTGGAACAGAAGATTTTGAGTCAAATTGTAGGAGCTGGATATCAAACCTCTGAAAAAGCAGCCACTGCTCTTAAATCATGAGCCATCACTTCAGACAGTTAAACTTGTTCTTTAACTCTTTGCTGTAAGATTTTTAAAATACAGGTTATCTCAATGAACATTTTTCCCAGGCTCATTAATTTTGTAACAAATGACAAGATTCAAGTGTTTATGCTCCTGAATAGTTTTTCCTACTGTGCTTTGGTCACTTTTTGCCAATTTATTCACATTAAAACTGGGTTGATTCCATTTCCTGGTTACTGTGAGGAGAACTGCAACAGACAGGGAGTTCAGGTGCATCTTCAGACTATCGATGACCTCTCATCCAGATAGTTATAAAAACAGGGCTTTCCTGACCACAGAAGAGATTTATTTGTAGTTGTCTTTAGAGAAAGTTCTGTATTGTTTTGCATATAGGGCATAGCAACTAACAGTCTCATAAATAATATGTGATATCCTTTTCCCATAGCATTGACAGCATTTCTCATTAGACAGATCATAGGATAATATAATAAAAATGAAGGAGAAGACATTGGATTGAAATTATATAACTTGAATAAGTGAAATAAAGCTTACTAAACCTTAATGTATTTATACAGGGGGTTTATTGTATATTTAATATGAAATATGGTTAAGAATAAAGCATGAAGAATCAATATAAATTTTCCTTTAATAGTTTGTTTAGGCAACATGAGAAGTGAAAGAGTACCAATAAGACATTATCAACTGATTTAACAAAATAAATAAGTTGGAGGTTTTAATTTTCCAGATACTAGAAGTAAGACATTCTCAGAGGACTTTAACCTTCTCAGGAAGGTGACATATTTCAAATTCCCAAGTGCTTCTGAAATCCTTTTTTGTTTTTTATTAATTTTTATTTTAAATTTAAATTAGAAACAGGGTTATTTCACATGTCAATCCCAGCTCCCTCTCCCTCCCCCTCCTCCCATTCCCTCCCACCACCTCCCCAGTCCCCCTATGAATCACCACTCCATTCCCCAGGGTTTCATATCCAGAGGTTGTTATTTCATTCAGGGCAGAGCCTATTCCCTACCATAAGAGTCCAGGCTGAGAGAGATCCCTCATTGTGGGATGGTAACCCAAAGTCCATTTGTAAGCCAGAGATAAATACTGATCTGCTACCCAATGACCCATAGATTGCTTAGGCCTCCCCATTGACACCCATATTCAGGGGGTCTGGTACAGTGCCATGCTGGACCCCAAGCCATCAACCTGGGGTTCAAGAGCTTCCCCTTGTTCAGGTCAACTATTTTTGTGGGTTTAAAAAAACCCAGTCTTAACCCCTTTGCTCATCAGTCCCTGCTCTCTGTCACTGGGTTCCTTGAATTCAGCTCAGTGTTTCGCTGTGTGTGTTAGCCTCTGCTTCCATCAGTCATTGGTTGAAGGTTCTGTTTCTCAGACTTTCTGGCAGTGGCATTGTAAGCTGTCACCCCCCTGATTCACATCTAAAATCCATATAGGAATGAGTACATACCATGTTTGTCTTTTTGTGACTGGGTTACCTCACTCAGGATGGTTTCTTCTGGTGCTGTCCATTTGCCTGAGAATTTCAAGATTTCATTGTTTTTTCCCGTTGAATAGTAATCCATTGTGTAAATGTACCACATTTTCTCTATCTACTCTTCAGTTAAAGGGCATCTAGGTTGCTTTCAGGTTATGGCTATCACAAATAATACTGCTGTGATTACAGTGGAATAGATGTCCTTGTTGTATGAATGTCCATCTTTTGGATGTATGCCTAAGCGTGTAATTGCTGGGTCTTGTGGTAGGCTGAATCCAATTTTCCTGAAGAATCTCCTCACTGATTTCCAAAGTGGCTATTCTAGTTGGCATTCCCACCAGCATTGGAAGAGTGTTCCCCTTTCTCCACAACCTCTCCAGTATAACTGCCATTGGTGTATTTGATTTTAGTCATTCTGAGGGGAGCAAGATCATATCTCAGAATTGTTTTGATTTGCATTTCCCTGATGGGCAGTGATATTGAGCACTTTTTAAAGTGTGTCAGCCATTTTAGACTCCTCTATTGAGAATTCTCTATTTAGTTCTGTAGCCCACTTTTTAATTGGATTCTTTGGTGTTTGGAGACTTGCTTCTTGAGTTCTTTGTAAATTTTGGAGATCAACCCTCTGTCAGATGTGGTTTTAGTGAATATCTTTTCCCATTCTGTGGGCTGCCTTTTTGTCTTGTTGACTGTGTCCTTTGTCTCACAGAAGCTTCTCAGTTTCAGGAGCGCCCATGTATTAATTATTGACCTCAGGGTCTGTGCTACTGGAGTTATGTTCAGGAAGCTGTGTCCTGTACCAATTCATTCAAGGGTACCTCCCACTTTCTCTTCTAAGATGTTCAGTGTGGCTGGATTTATGTTGAGGTTTGATCCGTTTGGACTTAAGTTTTGTGTATGGCAATAGACATGGGTTTATCCACATCTTCTACATTCCAGCCTCCAGGTATGGCAGCACCATTTGTTGAAGATGCTTTCATTTTACCCTTGTATAATTTTAGCTGTGACTCTAACTTTGTGTATAACTGAAAGTTTTTAAGTTATGATCTATTTATAGAAAAATTTAGTCTAGTTTGCATTTGCTTGGAGGTAAAGATGAGCTAATTTTGTGCAGTTTGTTTTAGACTGAGGAGAAATTGGTAATTTGTCATATCAAAGCAGGCTTTATTGTGTATCACAGTCTTTGTGGCAAATAGATCTAGTTATACAGCATATCCTAGTAGAAAAAATATATATGTATATAGTTAAAGTTATATCATCTTCCTGATATGAGATTATATATACACATCATATAGGATTGCACATTACAGCATAGGTATTGTGGAGATACTATACTGCCTTTTCACATGTGAATTTAAAAACAAGCAATCAGTCGTTATAACCAATATTTTCATAATCCTTGACTATGAATTTCCTCCAAAATATTAGTTGATCAACTGTTTGGCCAGCCTATAAATATCAATTGATGTCTGTTGTAATTGTGTCATGGGCCAAAACAACTAGTGACATTCTCTACCTGTGGTCCCACCTCACAATTTTCATGTTTTTTGTGCTATGTATTTATACATATATGTGATCAATGACAACTTTCAGGTAGATAAAACCACCGCATAATTTTATACTCTTGTCTCTCCCATGTTAAATCCTATTATCAACACTGTAAAGAATGCAGAGGTTAAATTTTCAAATAGAATGTTACTAAGAAAGTATTCAATCTTGGATAATAAGTGATTTAATTTGAATGCCTTTTCCCCCTTTTTATCTTTAAATAAGAAACAAGCTTGTTTTATATGTCATCTCCAGTTCCCCATACCTCCCTTCCCACCTGTCCACCACAGATCCCCTCTTACATCCTCTGTACTCCCCAAAGAGGGTGAAGTCTTCCATGAGAAATCTTTAATGTCTGTCATGTCATTTGGAGCAAGGCCTTAGCCCTCCCCAGTGTGTCTGGCTAAGAAATGTCCCTCTATATGGAAAGGGCTCCCAAAGTCCATTAGTATACTAGGGAAAAATACTGATCCGCATAGATTCCCTTGGCCTCCTAAATGACATCCACATTCAGGAGGTCTGGATCAATTCTATGCTGGTTTCCCTGCTTGTAACATGCATTCTTCCTGCCAGCCACTTGGGTCCCTCTTCTGTCTCAGCTTCCAAGTAACACACAAGACACTATATTAATTATGAAGCTGTTGGCCATTAGCTTTAATTTCTTATTGGCTAGCTCTGAATTAATTATTAACTCATAACTGCTAATCTAAGTATTCTGTGTGATCTTCTCTTACCGAAGAAAGGGTCCATACCTCTTACCTCTCCCACTCCCTACACCATGACTCCTGTGCCTCTCCTTCCCAGAGTCCTCCTCAACTCATAATCCCACTTATCTTGCTTCCCTATTATACAACAGTCCTGTATTTAATCAACCAATAGGACAACATATACACAGAAGGACTTCCCCCATCACCTGCTATTAGTCTGGGGTTCATGAGCTATGTCAACTATTTCTGTGGGTTTCTCCAACCTTGTATTGATCTCTTTGCTCATCACTCCTTCCTCTCTGCAACTGGGTTCCAGGAGTTAGGCTCAGTGTTTAGCTGTGGGTGTCTGCTTCTACTTCCATCAGCTACTGGATGACAGGTCTAGGATAGCATATAAGGTAGTCATCAAACTCATTATCAGGGAAGGGCATTTAAGGTAACCTATCCACTATTGCTTATGTTGTTAGGGTCATCCCTGTAGATCTCTGGACATTTCCCTAGTGTCAGATTTCCCTTTAAACCTATAATGGCTCCCTCCCTCTATTATGTATCTCTTTTCTTGATCTCCTCTATTCTTCCCCTGAGTCAAACTTCCTGCTCCCTCATGTCTCCCTCTCCCCTTATCTTTCTCCTAACTCCCTCTCCCCTCCTCACATGCTCCCAATTTGATCAGTAGATGTTGTCCCTTTCCCCTTCTCCAAGGGACCATGTATGCCTCTCTTAGGGTCCTCCTGGTTTCCTAGATGCTCTGGTAGTGTGGATTATAGGCTGGGAATCCTTTGTTCTAGGTCTAAAATCCATATATGAGTGGGCACATACCATGCTTATCTTATTACAACTAGATTATATCACTCAGGATGGTTTCTTCTAGTTCCATCCATTTGCCTGTGAATTTCAGGATTCCATTGTTGTTGTTGTTGCTGTTGTTTTTCTCATGAGTAGTACTCCATTGTGTAAATATATCACATTTTGTTTAACCATTCTTCAGTAGAAGGACATTTAAGTTGCATCCAGGTTCTGGCTGTTACAAACAATGCTTCTTTAAACATATTTGAACAGATGTCCTTGTTGTATGAATGTGGATCTTTTGGGTTGGGCCTAAGAAAGGCTCACATGCAAGGCCTAGTGTGAGCTCCTGAGTCTGACTTGAGTTTAGGGCTCAGATGTGAGGCCCAGTGTAACCTCCTGAGCCTGGCTAGAGTTTGGTGACCTGTCTCTAACCTGTAACCTCCATGTAGTGAGTGACTCACTCAGGCCTCATGCAAGATTGCCCCTGCTTAGCTACTTGCTTGCTTGGAGGGATAGTATTGGCCTTTAACTCTTCACATCACTTTACCCTATCCTAAGATTCCCATCCCCTACCTCAGTCCTATATAAGTTCCTGCCTGTTGGAATAAATTGAGATCCTTCTTCGATAGACTCCCAACTCAGTGTGTCATCCCTCCCCCCTTAACTAGTAGGGGGTAGGGTCTGAGTCATTGACATTCACCATCCCACTCAGCCCACAAGAAGAGGCCAGCTGGACTGGCCCTTCCCCTGCTGTACCTGCAGGAGGGACCTTGCATGGAAATGCTGGATCTTGTGGTATACTGATTCCCATTTTCCTGAGGAACCACTATACTGATTTCCATGTGGATTTGAAAGTTTGCACTCCCACCAGCAGTGGAGGATTGTTTCCCTTTCTCTCCATCCTCTCCATCACAAACTAGAAAGAATTAAATCTTGGATAGTAAATGATTTAATATAAATCACTTATTTTTGTATTTCCCCACAATATTGCCCCTTATTCATGAGAAATAAATTCCTAGATGCTCATTGCAGCCTAAAAGCATGAATATTACTAAACTTTACATACACATTTCGGCATACAGGTTATCTATCATAAATTAATTTTTTAACTTAAACACAGTAAGTTGAATACAACTCACAAAGATAGGATAGATGATAGAATATTTTCTTTAAATTTTGCCAAATATTAGTGGAGTAAATATTGTTTATGACAGTTCTTGCTTGATAACTGTTTTGTTATACATAATTTTACTATGTTAAAGCTAAAACCTTTTTTTTTATTTAGACAGGAAAGAGATAATGTGGTATGCCCTTCTCTATGTTGTAAATATATGTTCTCTTATTGGTTGATGAATAAGTGCTGATTGGCCAATAGCCAGGCAAGAAGTATAGGTGGGGCTACCAAAGTAGGAGAATTCTGGGAAGGGGAAAGGCAGAGAAGCAGTAACAGGGGAGATGGCATATAGCTACCAAGGAAGAAAGGGAAGAAAGATGCCCATGCATCACTGGTAAGTACCACATGGAGATGTAAAGATTAATAAAAATGGGTTAATAATTAATAGAGAGTTAGCCAACAAGATGCCTCATCCATACGCCAAATAGTTTGTGATTATTATAAGCCTCTGTGTGGTTGTTTGGGACTAACTGGCTGAGGGACTGGGCAGTACAGAAAATTCTGTCTACCCAAAATCATGGAGACTGTTCTGTGTTGAACAGTTATTTCTGCAGTGAGGCTTGCCTTGGTATGTGGCTGATATACAAGGTGTCACTTTCTTGAAAAAATCATTTTCCAATTTCCTAGCAGATAGCAAGTGTATATGGCTTCTTGAAAAGTAATGGGACTTAGCAGTATTCAGCATCTGTTCCAGTTTATGAAGTGTGCATTAAATTTAATTTTTCAGAAGTAGTTTTTGTTGCTTACATAACATTGTACCAGTTTAGGCTGACAAGTTGGTATTGTAAGTCACAGGGTTCTTAGCTGGATGAGATTAAATGGTTACCTTTCTCTTCTCATATTATGCATAATACCTTCCTACATCATGAATTATACAATTCATCACAGAAATTGTCAAATGGAATCTTAAAGTCAAATGGAAACACACACACACCCACACACACACACACTACACACCACACATTACGCCCCCCACACACCACTCAGAGAGAGAGAAGGAGAGAGAGAGAGAGACAGCACAAATAATCCTGAGTAAAGAGAACTGTTTGAAGTTTAACCAGGATTTCAAATGTATCACAGGGCTATAACAATAAATTCAACATTTTATATGCAAAAAAGCCATGCTTCTCAACGGAAAAGAACTGATTACCCAAGCTTAAATCCACATACCTATAGACACCTGAATTTTAATGAATATGCCAAGAATACTCAAAAGATGGCCCCTTGAACAATCGTTTTTCATCAAACTGAATAGTTACATGCATAAGACTGAGAACTGACCACTGTTTCCATGAAGAAAAATCAGATTCTAATGAATTAAGAACATCAACATAAGAACAGATACCCTGAACCAATTTATTTACTTATTATTTTATATATCTTATTTGTTCCCATATCTACTGGAAAGAACCAGTTTAGTTAATTTGTAATAACAAAATATTTGTATCTGTAAGTTTTTTTCATTTTTAACAACTTTATACTAACCCCCAATTTCAAAGTTTTGTTGCCTGGGAAATGCTTCTCTGTTGACTAGACGACACGAAACTATTCATAATAACATTTAGACAGGCAAGTATTACATTAGATCACTAATTTATCAAATATCACGCTAATACCTTAAGTTACTTCCTTTTGAATTTTCAAATACAACATTTTCTTTTTATAAACTTTATTCTTGTGAATCACATCAATGTATGCAATGTTAAAAATCATATTTGCTTCTAATTTCTCCAGATTCTCCTTAATCTGTCCCTCTCTGAGTATCAACTATGGCTTGATCTGTATTTAATTTTTCTTATACTTTTGATTACTCTCTCAGTTTGAAATGAATAAATTTATAGACACACATACATGCCTATTTTTTTCATTTGACTCATTGATTGTTGTTCTAGAATCCCAGTTTTCCTTGGACTACTAAATAGCACCATCATTCTAGAACTGGTATGTTGAAAGCAGTTCCTTGTCAGAAATACCTCAGATTGGGCTTGCAAGTTTAAGGTTGCGCTCTCAAAGACTATGAATGTTATCATTTATGGAAATAAAGAGTTATAGGATAAAAAGGCAACTATTAATCTCAGATTTTTTTGCACTGACATGAATTTTGGTTACTTTTGTATATGTTTTTACTCTTGTTTGGGGTATTATACAGCTCATTTAAGAATGCAATATATAATTAAGAAATGATGTTAGTTAAGTCTGAAATATTAAAATTTATAGTCACATTGGGTATGTTTTTAAGGTTAAACAGGTATACTTTTGACAAATGATTTTTCACACCTTCAAGACCTAAAAAAATATGTCTTTAAGATTTTTAATGACCTAGGGTTTCTCATGACAATGAAACATATCTGTTTTTGGTAGTACCAATTTGCTTCATAAAAGGATAATGGACATCAAAGAAATCTCATATAGAGTTTGGTTTAAATGTGGTAAGTCAAGAGCTCTTGCTTTGAGTGCTGACAGTATGCTGTATGGACTGGAAAAGTGGGGCACAGGACAAAGATTGCTGAATG